TTTTTTTTTTTTTTTTTTTTTTTTTTTTTTTTGTGGTGCTGCATATCAAACCTGGGGCTTCATGCAGGCTATGTCCCCAGTCCAGTGGACTTGATTTTTATATGTTAATATTAGTTTATATTCTATTAATATTCTAGTATTTATGTTTATAATTCTATACAAAAAATGAGACTTATTTTTTCTTTGTAATCCTTAGACCAGCATTGTCCAGTAACACTTGACTCAGGGATGGAAGTGTTTTAGACTTGCACTGTCCAGTGTCATACTCACTAGTCAGATGAGGCTTTTGGTCACTTGAAATACAGCTAATAACACTGAAGAACTGAATATTTAATTTGAGATTGCTATAATACCGTGTATTGTATTGAACACTTATTTATCTTTCTTACCTTATTATAATGGTTATTATCTCATTCCAGTATTGAGTAGAAATAGTGTTGGCATCCTCCCCCACTAAAAATATGTCCTTGAATTGTTCTGGTTTTTGAAAAGTTACCGTCTGTCAGTGGTGCTGTAAGCTGCACTGCCCAAGCAAGGTGCCGTGAAACGTGTAGACAGTGTTTTGTGACTGCCTGTCGTTTGTAAGGTAATGACCCTTCACTCCAGATCAGTTGATGGGCTAGCAGGCACTTGCTGTACATTTTCTAATCTCTTGCTTTGGGCTGGACCCTGCTTTGTGGAGGAATAGTCCACTCAGTGTTTTGTGTCTAGGCATTGACAAGGAGTGTCATGGGCATTTCTGTGGTATTGTGCATTTTTCACTCGTGTGCAAAGAGACAAAATGATTAATGATCAGATAAGAACCTGTACTCTTCGAAGTAGCCCTTCCTGGTCTCCCCCTAATTTCCAGGGTGTTGTGATCTTCAAGCATGGATGCTTCCTGAGAATGACATTCAGGGACTACAACTTGTTCTTTTAAACACTCTTTTTAAAAAATGGGTATTAGTATGTCTGTGTTATGTAATAATTGCACGCATCCTGGGGATTTGGTGCATACACATACTGGGCCTTGAACATTTTCATTCCCTATGTTCCCCTTCTTTCCCCAGACTCCCTTTTCATCTCCACAGTCTATCTCCCTGTTTCTTTCCATCTCATTTTTATTTTGCCTTTTTTTTTGGTACCAGGGATCGAACTCGGGCCCTTGTACTTGCGAGGCAGGCGGCAGAACCACTGAGCCAAATCCCTGGCCGTGCTTCCTCAATTATTTATATTTTATGTTTCTCATATTAGGGAAACCATGTGACATTTAACCTTCTGTGTCTGATTTATTTCACTTAGCATTATGGTTTCAAAAATCCATCCTTCCTATAAATGACTCAAGTTGATCCTTTTTCTAGCTGGGTGTGAATACTACATCTTAGAGTAGACCATTGCTACCTTCTGGTCAGTTCGATTTTTGAAAGGTGAGAGTGTGAGCCCTGGAAAAGAGGGTGGATAAAGTGGGTTATAGATCTGGGTGGTGATACTTTAGGTCTGAAGGAGGAGGCATAACCATGAGGTCAGGATTTCCTTGTGAGGCCCTTTAACCAATCCTGAAGACCATTCTTCAGAACTGTGTTCTCAGCAGGTGAAGCCCTGCCTCAGGGTGGCTTCATAACAAATAAGCAGCCTCTGAAGGTGCTGACTTTGAAGGGCCACCTGTTTGAATATACTATATTTTGTAACAAATAAATGACTATGTACAGCAGTGTCATATAGAGCTTAGGAGTACTATCTTGATTTGAATATGAATTCTGCAGTTGAAGTGCAGAGTTACATGGCTAAGGCCACTTATTAGCTGTGTAACCTTGAGCAAGCCCCTCTGACCTTTACTTTCCTCCCTAGAGCCACGAGGACTCAGTGAGACTCTAATGAAAGTGCCTAATGAGAACGGGGGTGGTATTCGCTGCCACAGACCTGTCCCATTGCCCTGCGTTCACATCAGGAAGTTGTTATGCAACCTAGGGGCCTTGGCGTCCACATGATAAACCCATGTTCAGCTAAGAACGCCCCAGAGCTGGCCTGTATTGTTACTCCTCAGCTGGGCATTTGGGCCTCTCCCTAGCATGAGCTAAGGACTCGCTGCCATGTCGCTTATCAGTCCAGGAGAAACCCAGGGAGGAGGAGACAAGTTGACAGCTTGATGCCTGGGCACTGGCTCTGTGTGAGGACTTGCTGAGGACTCTAGTTAAGGCTGAACGCCCAGCGTCTTGTGACTGCAGGGAAGATAAATGAACACTAACTCATTTCCTTCTGTATAGTTTATGCTCCAGAGGCACGCTTGATTCATGTTTCTGTCTCATGTGGAAGAGGCCTTTCTCTTGAGTGGAATGGTAGGGGTGGGGGTGGTGAGAGCAGTTGGCTCTGCTATCTTCCTTCACATTGTGTCCCCAGGACCTGTCCCGAGGCTGGGGTGCAGGGCAGACCTTGTTCCCACGAATGTGTGCTGACCAAAGCCCAACTCTCCACACCACCAATCAGCTCAGCCACAGAGGTTCAGCCACGGCGCCCACTTTGCCAGTGTCCTGGGAAGAACAGTAGTGGGTGGGGATTGGGCTGCCTTCCTGCTCTCAGCCTTTCAAAGATGCCAAGGCCTTGGGTCGAGTCCAGTGTCCTTGTCATGACCCGGCCCATGCCTGCCTTTCCAGAGTCATCTCTTGCAGCGCTCTCATTCCTTGCTCCGAGACTGACCCACTTTAAGTTTCCCACCTCATCTTTGACTCTCCCTGGCCACCCCACCATCTTCTGAGTCTGAGTTATGTGGGCTGATCTCACACCGTGGGTTCCTTCCGATCCCAGCAGGTCCTGTGGAAATAGCCAAAGTGAATGTGAGCTGGCGCTGGGGACTCTCTTCTCACCACATACAGCGTGTCTAGCATGGAACCCAGTAAGCGTGTGTTGAGCAAATGTGGGGCCTGACCCCAGTGTGGCTCACCTCGGGGAAAGTGTTTGGTGGACGTATATGCAGATAGGCAGGGAGGCAGCAGTACCCTGTTCCAGAGGACCAAGCATTACTCTGTCACTGAGCTGTGTGGGTTACAGTAGTTGCTGCAAAATGACTTCCAGCCTCTGGCATGCTGATGCCTCCGTCAGAGCTCAGGGGTGGCAGCCCTGTGGTACCTGGGAGCTGGTAACATTTGAGTCAGGCCCCTGTCTGGGGTGTGAGTGCAATATGGCAATGTGTTTTCAGCATCCTGGGTCTCTCTGGCAGGTCTATAACTTGACCCAGGAGTTCTTCCGGCATGGTAAACCAGTCAATGCGGAGAGTCAGAACAGCGTTGGGGTGTTCACCCGGGAGGAGGTGGGCAACCGCATCAGGGATGACCCTGACGACCCAGAGGCCACCAAGCGCCTGAAACTCGCCATGATGCAGCAGTACCTGAAGGTAACCTTGCTGTGTGGAGTACAGGTGCCAGAGTGACGAAGACAGTTCCGGGGGGCACTGGGTCAGTGGAGGGTTGTGCTGTATAGAGCTCTTGTTCTTTGTCTGGCCGATGCTGGTGTCATCTGTCTTCTCTCTGGTCCTCTTGCAGGTGGAGAGCTGTGAGAGTAGCTCACACAGCATAGACGAAGTGTCCCTGAGCGCCTTCGGGGAGTGGACCGAGATCCCTGGTGCCCACCATGTCATCCCTTCGGGCTTCATGCGTGTCGTGGAGCTGCTGGCTGAGGGCATCCCGGCCCATGTGATCCAGCTGGGGAAACCTGTCCGCTGTATTCACTGGGACCAGGCCTCGGCACGTCCCCGGGGTCCTGAGATCCAGCCACGGGATGAGGGTGACCACAATCACGACACAGGGGAGAGCAACCAGAGCGGAGAGAGCTCCCAGGGGCGTGGATGGGGTGAGGACGAGCAGTGGCCGGTGGTGGTGGAGTGTGAAGACTGTGAGGTGATCCCAGCAGACCACGTGATTGTGACCGTGTCCCTGGGTGTGCTCAAGAGGCAGTATACCAGCTTCTTCCAGCCCGGCCTGCCCACCGAGAAGGTGGCTGCCATCCACCGCCTGGGCATTGGCACCACTGACAAGATCTTCCTTGAATTTGAGGAGCCCTTCTGGGGCCCCGAGTGCAACAGCCTGCAGTTTGTGTGGGAGGACGAGGCGGAGAGTCGCACCCTCACCTACCCACCTGAGCAGTGGTACCGCAAGATCTGTGGCTTCGACGTCCTCTACCCACCCGAGCGCTACGGCCACGTGCTGAGTGGCTGGATCTGTGGGGAGGAGGCCCTTGTCATGGAGCGGTGTGACGATGAGGCAGTGGCCGAGATCTGCACAGAGATGTTGCGTCAGTTCACAGGTGAGCTGTGCCCGCCCTGCCCAGATGGTGAGACGAGGTGGCTGTGCCCACAGGAGAGCCGCTGCGGGCATCATGCTTGGCCTCTGGCTCCCAAACTGCTGGACCATCTCCCAGTTTGAACTTGGAACGCTCAACATAATGGGCTTGGTGTCTGTCCTCTTGCTCAGGGCTGATGGTAGAAACAGGCGTCAGCACCAGTCACTCATTTCCTCCTCTGTCTTGCGAAGAGGTGGATTTGTGTTTTGCTCTGTGGATTTAATTGAGCATTTTCCACCCATTATTCTAAGAGAACTTCAAGGAACTTTTGACATTAGAAGGGGAAACATGATTGTTTGGGCTTTTGTTTTTTCACAGTGGTGGGGATTATATCCAAGGCCTTGTGTGCTGGGCAAGTGCTGTCCTGCTGAGGTACAACTTCTTTTCCCTTAATTTTCCTGTCTTAAAAGGAATTACAAGAACTCGAGCTGTAGCTTAGTGGTAGAGCACTTACCTAGCATGTATAAGGATCTGGAATCCATCCTCAACACTGAACATGAGAAAGACAGAGAGAGAGAGAGAGAGAGAGGGAGTGTTTTGCTGGTTTTCACAAGAAAGTGATGAAAGTGGGTACACAGCTTGAGCCCCAGACTCCTCCTGGAGTCCTGAAGATGGAGTGTTCAATATTATAAGGATCTGAATTCCATCCTCAACACTGAAAATGAGAAAGACAGAGAGAGAGAGAGAGAGAGTTGGAGTGTTTTGCTGGTTTTCACAAGAAAGTGATGAAAGTGGGTACACAGCTTGAGCCCCAGACTCCTCCTGGAGTCCTGAAGATGGAGTGTTCAATATGCAGTCTGTCTTACCTTTCCTCCCCTCGGTTCTTTTGACTTCCCAACAGGGAACCCCAACATTCCAAAACCTCGGCGAATCCTGCGCTCAGCCTGGGGTAGCAACGCTTACTTCCGAGGTTCCTATTCATACACGCAGGTGGGCTCAAGTGGGGCAGACGTGGAGAAGCTGGCCAAGCCTCTGCCCTACACTGAGAGCTCCAAGACGGCGGTGAGTGGAGCCGTGTGCCTTGAGGATGGGCCTGGGCGTGTGGGTGGGAGTTATGTGTGTCCGGTTAGGGGCTGGGGTTAGATAGTGCTCACTAGGAGGTGCTCGCTGAGGACAGGCTGTGATGGGATAGCTTGGCCGTGAAAGAAAACGAGAGATAGTGTGCACTTAACATCCGAAAGAAGAAATGGAACCAAATCAGAACTTTAAATGCTTTTCTGAGGTTATGAAAACTGTGGCCAGTATGGTAGCCCTTAGCCACATTTAATTTAATTCATTGGAATTTAAGTGAATTAAAAATGAGTACCTCAGGGACAGGCTCCGTAAAGTTCAGTTAAGTTCAGCGGCCACATGTGGCAAATGGTTACTGTATTGGATCATGAAGTTACAGAATATTCCCAGGATCAGAATGTTCTGTTGGACAGCACTGATTCATTGGAAACATTTTCCCGGTGTATTTTAGAAAATAAAATTGAGAAGACTGCCTAACCCCAAGTTATGTCAACTGTACACTAAGAAATAGTACATCAGAGAGAAATATATATTTTTGCTCCAATAAAGTGGATTTGGAGTTTTCTCCACAAAGTGTACACATACAATAAATGTCAAGACCCCAAAAGAGTTATATTTAAAATAATTCTTTGTTAATCGGTGAAGAAGATCTTGTGAACCAAGATATACTATGTCTCCCTGGCTGTGTATACAGGGAGCAGGAAATAGGTCCACAGAGGCCTTTGCTGCTGCCACAACCATATTCATGAAAAGCAAAGATCTTGTCACTTGCCTCAGGACTAATGCACTAACAAAAAGCCAAGCAAACTGAAAGTAATCCTGGCTTAAGCAGACACAAAAGGGAGCCTAGAGGAAGGTTTCAGGACCTGGCATCCTTAGCACCTGGCTGTTTTCTCCAGGACCTCTCCATAGTCCAAGAGGGCTGCTGAGGCTCTGGCTCTGACATCTGCATCTAAGGCTGGAGGGAGGAGAAACACTGAACACAGAAGGGGGTCCCTGGGAGCTGAGACATAGTCCCTAAGCAACAGTGCACCTGAAGCTCTTTGGCCAGAACTTAGTAATATGACTGTACCTCACTGCTGGAAAGTCTGGACCATGCCATTTCAGTCAGGATGACACTGGACCCAGTTGGAAACCACCTCGGAACCACTGAACCACCTCTGTGGATTTCTTGTGTGTGGGATGTGGCCTCACCCGCATACCTGCTGGGTTAAACCCTCTGCGTTCCATTGGGATCCGTGGTGGGTCTTGGCACAGGCATTGTGGGAGGCACCAGGATAAGTTCACATGCAGGCTTGGGGTGCAAGGACTTGAACTTTGCCAGGCCTCAGCTAGACAGCCTGATCTCTCCAGGCTGAGCCACAGTGCACCAGAATTTTCATTGTCCTCCACTGTGATGTGTTTTTGTCCCCACTCCTGCCTCAGTCCCAGTGTCCTTTGCCCGTTTCATCCAAAATCCTCTTTGAAGTGGTCCAGAGGTCCTGTCCTCTGGGAAGCTTTGTGGGATCCTCCAGCACTGGGCTGCTTTTCTGGGCTTTCAGCACCTCATCCAAACACCCATCATGGCCTGTATGACACTGTTTAGTAATTGGGTGTCGTGTCTGACTTCCCCACCAGCACAGAAACACCACAAAGCAGCAGCCTGGTCACCTTTTATCATCCTGGTGCCCAGAATAGTCCCTGGGCTGTATAAAGTAGGGGCTCCATAAAGGTTTGTTAAATTGCCACCTAACTTTACTGGGGATGTTCTACCAGGTGCTTAGATATGTGATTTCATTTAATCCTTACCACGTGCAGATGTAGGTGGTATCAACCCATTGGGCAGAGGAGAAAACCAAGGCTTAGGGAGGCTAATCCACTTGCTCTGGGTTTACCATTAAGAAGCACAGATAGCCCTTGAGACTGCAGAGCCAGCGCTTCTGACAGCCCCAGGACAGGAAGTCCCGAGGCCTGGTGTTTAGAGAAGGAGCAGGGGAAGATGACCAGGGAGTGGCAGCTCCTCAGGACGTGGAAGCAACAGTGCCTGCATCTTGCCGCGGCTGGCTCTGCTGTGATTTGCAATAGGGATGGGACTCTTGGCAGACAGGGAGCTCAGCTCCTCCTCTCCCTACCCAGCCCATGCAGGTGCTGTTCTCTGGGGAGGCCACTCATCGCAAGTACTACTCCACCACTCACGGTGCTCTGCTGTCCGGCCAGCGCGAGGCTGCTCGTCTCATTGAGATGTACCGAGACCTCTTCCAGCAGGGGCCCTGAGATCTGCGTGTTCCTCCTAGCACCACTAACTCAGGACCATTGGCCCCTGCCCTTGTCCCTATGTGCTCCTAACTTCCTCATCTCCTGTAGAATGGATTTCGATCTTTCGTACAGCTAGACACCCTAGCTGGCTTCAGACCTGGCCTTGTAGCTTTTCCTTCTCTCCAGGCCAGGTGGTGACCAGGCAGGGCGGTTGATTTACCTCTGTGCTGGGACACAGACCTCCCATTCCTGTCCTTTTCCCACCTCCACCCACGTTATTGCAAGTGCCTTCAATAATTTGCATTTTGGGATAATAAAAGAGGTGATCCTTCCTGAGCCCCTTGGCTTTGTCCATGGGTTTTCCTTCGTCTCTGTGTGTATGTTTTAATCATTCCTCCTTGTGTGGGTGGGTGCCATGCCTGGCTGTGGCCCCAGGATGGTGCCCACATTTACTGGAGGGGGCGTTGTGACTGGTCAGAGGCTTCTCCGGAATATGGGTCTCTCCTCACCAAGCCCGCTCCTTCTGTATGGGCCATGTCCCCTGCTGGCACTTCGCCTGACTTCTCAGAGCTTGGTTGATGACGAGCTGGAGTAAAGGTGAATTCCATGGGCAGGAACCCCTGGCGGCTCCATTCCAGACCGATGTGCTCATTACTAATCTGCCCTTGGCTGTGGGGTGGTGGGTCTGGCCCCTGGGGAGGGTGCTTTCTACCATGGAGATGCAACACAGAGATGCACCTGTTCCTGGCTCCTGGAAGTGGGACGGAAAAAGGCAGCCTCTGACACAAATCTGGGGGAAGGAAGTAACAGGTTCTCAGGGCCATAGGCACGGGAGTTGTGAAGGACTCCACTGGGGAGAGGGCTGGGGATGCTTCCTGGGAGATTGCATGTTTGGGGCCCTAGGTGAGGGAGAGGGAGGGAAAGAGTGTTCACTGTTTCCTGCCAACACCTGACATGTGGACTCTGGATTTGGCATGGACACCAATGCCCACCAGTGAGGGTGGTGAGCTCCAGGATGAGTGAAGCTCAGGTTTAATCAGTGTGTGCAGCGTCACAGATCTGCCTGACACCACAGCACACACTCACTCTTTCATGTAGTACTTGGTGAAAAGAGAGGCTGTAGCACCAAGAAAATCTGAGGCCATTGCTAGAGAAAGTGGGCATGGGCACAGCCGTCTGGGAGGCCCCTTGGCATATTCTGAGGCTGGCTGTGTATCTGCTAACATTTCCACTCCTGGTTTCTACACAAGAGAAATCTGAGTGCAAATGCCCACCCGAGCTATGTATTGGAATGCTCACAGTCCTAGAGTTCGTAATAGCTGGAAACTGGAAACAGCCCAGATGTCCACAGAGAGAAGAATGGGTGAACTGTCGTGCATTCATAAAGTGGCACAGCAAAAGAGAAGGAAACGGCTATTTGCAATGACATGGACTAATCTCAGAAACGTTAACTGAAAGAAGCCAGACACAAGGCTATATCCTCGATGACTTCTTTTATATGAAGCTCAAGGACCTGCAAAACTCATGTATGGTGTTAGCAATGAGCAGATGTGGGTATTTAATGGGAGCTAATGTATTCGTACATTGGTAAAAATGCATCAAGTTATGCATTAAGGTTTATGTACTTTTCCGTATGTGTAACTCGATTTAAATCTTTTAGAGTCTACAGACACCATTCCCACCCTCCTAGCTCAAAGTATGATGGTGTTGGCCTAGATCACTTCCTCCTTACAGCAGAGACACTGCATCCTGACAGCAGATAAAGGCAGGAGGGACCCACTTACACTTCCCTGGCGGCCTGCTGATAAGGGTCGACTTGATTTCGTTGTGTGTTACAGAATGTTGCTGTTTATCAGATCCATTCCCTGTGTTCCTCATCCTTTCTGTAGCTAGAGCCGTGTTGGGGAGCTGTGAACAGTTCATGGTAGAGGAGACGGGTTCCTAGAGGGACCTGAGTGTGGCTGTTCAGGGCCCCACAGATTAGAGAGGCTGCAGTGAGCAACTCCAGCAGGAAGACAAGGGGAACCCTTGGCACTCACGAGTGAGGACAACCATGGGGGGTCCTGGAGAGTTTGCGAAAGCAGCCAGCCCTCCTGTGTGCTGTCTCCACATGTAATCGCACATTGTGGGTAGCATTTTGTCCAAAAAAGCAGAGATGAGGCAGATGAACAAGGAGGAGCAGGGACACTTCAGAAGCTTGCTAGGTGTACCAGGGACATAAGATGTGTGTCACACGGCAACCAAGTTTCTGAGGCATTGGTTGAAATCCCAGGGCCTCTTTATAAAAGCAGGCTTCTCAGGCTGGCACTGATGCCAGCATTGCCGATACAATTCCCCTTGGCTCGTGGAATTCACTTGGAGAAGAATTCTTCCTTGCATGGGATTCTGCATGGAGCTGGTTGCATGTTTTTCTGCGCTGTGGGTGCCAGGGAATCTACAGTCAAAGTGTTCAGGTGTGGCTTTGTGGAAGCCTCAGAAATGATGCCACGGAGGGGCTGGGGTCCTTCACAGGCATTGTCTCCCTGCCCTTGCTGTTTGGTGGCAGGTGAGTAGTGTGTGATCCTTGCACCTGCCCCACCCACAAATGAGGAAAAGCGAAGCACCTCTGCTTGGAGTCCCTGGGTTAGCTTTTTGTTATGAGGGAAAAATACCTGAGACAATTAACTTCAAAGGAGGAAAGGCTTATTTTGGCTCATGGTTCTAGGAGGTTCAGTCCCTTGTTGCTTGGCTCTGTTGCTTTTGGCTTGGGGTGGCATGGTGTGTCATGGCAGGAACGTGTGATGGAGGTCCACACCTTCTAAAGCTTCCTCTGTCTCCCAGTACTGTGACATGTGGGGGACTTGCTTTACAAGTGGGCCTTTGGGGGTTTCTAGAGCCAAACTATACAGTCACCCTGCATTTATTTGGGCCTGTTGGGATGCACTCAAGTACCCTGAGGTGCAGAGTGAGGTAGGCTGCTGGCTCAGCTCTTGAGGATCGCTTGTCTAATTAATGCTCTGCCCAGCTTAATGGTAGTTATGAGAGGATGGGTTTTCTCATAATGACTGGCTGGGCTGTTTTGAGGCTGCTCCTGAGTTTTATAGGGAAATCTAGGCATGAACACACAGGAAGAGTTGCTACCCTGCTGAAGTGACCAGGACATATAACCTCATCCAAGGAAGGAAGGAGTTTCTCACTGCCCTGTTTCATACTGTTTAACTGATGTTTGATGAACAAAAGCTGTCTTACATCCCGATTCTAGTGATGGTTGTTTGACAATGATTTTGCCAAATCAGGAGTTTTCAAAGGAAATGAAAGGTATTGGGCAGATTTTATCTCTGTGAACTCAGAGTTTCTGCAACTTTGATTAATTGGGTTGGGAGCCCCCCCCATTTCGTCGTAGACCCAACTGCTCCTTCTTGTCCTAGATCCGCTACTACCTGTCTGCCATAACAGGAGGCACTTGGGGTCCCTCCTTTTCCTTAATTTAGTTTGGATTAGGTTGTTCTTGTGATAGGTCTTGACTAATTAAAATTGGTTCTGGAACTGAGGTTTTACATTTGACTTATCATTTCACTCAGTCTCTTTTCTACACTTTGACTCTCTTGACCTGTTCTCTTAACACCAACCAGCATAATCCCGGTCATGGATCAAGCATAGCTGTCTGGGCCACAGCCAGGAACCCTGGAGAAAAACATGCAGCCACACCTGCTGGCCGAAATAAAGAAGGTGAAGCAAGCTAAACAGCACAACACTGCCCGCAGGATCCTTCTGTGGACTTAGCATGTCCAAGGCGGAACTTTCTGTTCTGCTCCTTCCCAGATCTAATCTGTACCCCTAGTCTTCTCCATTGACCCAGCACCTGGGTCAGCACTGACTTCTTTTTCTTTCACATTGCACATCTGATCATCAGATTTGCCATCGGGGAGTCTTTTGGGGCCTCCTTGCAAGCATCCTAGATCTGATCACTTCCCCCCTCTCTGAGCTGCTTCTTGCAGCAGTCTCCTAGGTGGGTGGGGCCCTATCCTCTGAACCAGCCCCGCTTAGTATGTTCACAAGTGCGATCTTTTCAAAACTTCAGTGTGGCCATGCTCTTTCCTTGACTTCTACTGACAGCAATCACAGTAGGACCCAAGGTGATGTCTAACACCCCATGTGATCTGTCTCCTGGCTCCCACCTCCCCTTGGCCTGGGCTGTCCTCTTTGTTTTGGACCCCCCCTCACCCTTATTTGCAAGGATTCTACCTCACTGCTTTCTGACCCCTACTCTGATGTCACTTTGATGAAGTTCCTGAGCATCACATTTTTATAGCCCTTATTTTGTGTTCTCTCTCTTGACTAGTTATTCACAGCCCTTGCCTGATGATATGTTTTGTGCGTGTGTGTTTATTTATTTATGGGTTTGCTTTCTACTACAGTGGAAGTTCTGTGTTCCCTGCTGCATATCCAGTGTGTCCAAAATAGTGCTGGGCACAGCACTGGCAGAATGAATGAATAAGGGGACGAAGATGCTGGCTATACAGTTATTTTAGTTTATATCTAGATCCCCCCAAACTCATGTGCTCCTAGGTGGGGTTTTGGGAGGCAGCTGGATCATGGGTGTCTGATACTCGTCAGTGGATCAGTCCACAGATGAGTTTATAGCGGGGTGTGACGTTGGGAGGTGAAGCCTTTTGGGAGAAGGTGGTCACTGGGCGTGGCCCGGAAGGCCTAATCTCCCTCCCTCCTCCTCGGTCTCTCTGCTTTTTGCCTGCCATGCCGTGAGCTAGTTCTCCTCTGCCAGACCCCTCTGCCATGCAGCCCTGCCTTGGAGCAGCCAGTCATGGACTGAAACCTTGACAAACAGCCACAATAAACTTCTCCATCTTTAAATTGTGGGTGTTGGGTATTGTGTCTCAGTGACTAGAGAGTAACTAAGTCATGGTGCCGGCCTGGAGACCCGCCCGTAGGGCTGGATGGCAGTCCTTGTGGCTTCCCTTGTTTGCTGTCTCCTCTTAGACCTTGGACACTGCCTCCAACTCCTGCCTCAGACAAGGTTAAAGCCACCTAGGCATCACTTCCTCACCCAATTGACAAGCTCTCCAGCCTTCACATCCTTCCTGTGGGCCTCCCTTCTGAGGCAATGGAAGGCGCTTCTGCCTCTCCGGGAACCCTCCCCCGTGCATCTCATGCCCCAAATACAGCGACCCTGCCCTGTCCTTCCACCACCTCTCTCTTCCACACTTCTCATGCCTGTTTCGATATGCTCGTGGCTTTCCCATCACCCACTCTTTCTGCTACCTTCCTTTGCTAATCAAGCTTCATGGTAGCATTTTCTACACTTGTGCTTTCTGCCTTCTCACTGTCCTCACCGTAG